GGAATGGATGATGGACATGGTACTAAGAGGCCTCAAATGGAATATTTGCCTTTGCTACCTCAATGACATATTTGTGTATGCACCTAATTTCAAATAACACCAAAAGCGTTTAAGGGAAATACTGAAATATATCCAAAGAGCAGGAATGACACTAAATTCCAAGAAATGTTTATTCGGCAAAAAGAAGCTGACTATACTGGGACACTTAGTTGATCATATAGGATATATCCCGATCCACAAAAGGTAGAGGCTGTAACAACGTTCCCTGTTCCACAAAATATCGCCGATGTCCAAAGTTTTCTGGGCTTGTGCTCCTACTACCGACGATTTATTAAAAATTTTGCGGATATTGCAAAGCCTTTGCATGACTTGTTGAAGAAAGATGCAAAATTTTCTTGGAACGTGTTACAAATTGAATCTTTTGCAACGCTCAAAAGACTGCTGACCAGTGGCACTGTTTTGGGACATTTTATACCAGATGCAGAAACCAGGATACATTCTGACGCTAGCAGCTATGGCATCATTGCAGTACTGGTTCAGATCCAGGATGGCAAAGAAAGACTAATAGCCTATGCATCCAGGTCCCTTATTGCAGCTGAAAGGAACTATTCCACGATCGAAAAAGAATGCCTTGCCATCATCTGGGCAGTTAGTAAATTCAATAAATTATCTTTACGGAAAACTCTTCACGGTAGTCACGGATCACCACTCTTTATGTTGGCTGGCCAATGTTAAGGATGCATCCGGAAGACTTGCATGGTGGGCTCTCAGGTTGCAGAAATACAACATAAATATCGTCTACAAGAGCGGTCGCAAACACTCTGATGCAGATTCACTATCAAGGAAGCCCCTTATACAACCAATAATTGAGAACAATGAAGACAACCCTTTCTTTGTATCAATCGTAAAATACAGATAGGAGCAGCAGAAGGATAAACAATGAAAATCCATCATTACAACTCTCAAGAGAGGTGACGCATTCCTTGGTAAATGGTATACTGTTCAAAAGAAGCTTGATCCTAAGAAGTCTTCTTGGTTCTAACTAAGAAAATCTTGCCTAAAAACCATCTTGGATTTGCCAAAACGTATTGACGAATAAGGAGGAAGGAGGCCAGATACTATGGCCACGATGGAAATCACTGCCGAGGAATGCCAAAGACCAATCACCGCCGCAACGTCCACAGCTTCATTCATGATAAAACCTCCTGACACCACAAATTGGAATAGATTCTACTTGACGCTTTCCTGTTACTCGAAATGGGAACCGGTGGATTATAGTTTGCACAGATTACCTTAGATTTGCAGTCACAAAGGCAATACCGACAGCTGAGGGCACACGAAATTGCTAAGTTTATAGTTGAAGAAATTGTACTGAAGCAAGGTGCCCTCAAAGAAATGATCAGTGACCGAGGATGCAACTTCCTATCCAATGTTGTTAAAGAAGTAATTCAACTATGCAAGACGTCTCGTCTTCTGATAACTGCATACCACCCTTAGACCAATGGCTTAACTGAAAGATTCAATAAGATACTGGGAGACATGTTGTCCATGTGCTTAGACATTGAATAGAAAAATTGGGATACTATTCTACCATTTGTAACCTATGCCTATAATTCAGCCAAACAAGACACAATGGGATTCAGCCCATTCCTTCTCATTTATAGCAGATATATCCTGACTCCTCTGGGCGTAATTTTTCCATACAGTATTGAAGATTCCAACAATAGTTATGCGCAACATCTGACCACTAGAGCTGAAGAAGCTAGACAGCTTCCAAAACTCCATATTCTTAAAGCACAAACCACAGACAAGCACCGATACGACGCGAGGCATTGTCAGCTACAACATTGAAGACAGTCGGGGTATTCACTCCAGTACGATAGGTTGGATTATTCGAAAAGCTCTTAAGACATTACTTTGGACCATATCGAATAACACGACAACTCTCTGACATGTCGTAAAAAATAGAAAATATGAAACAAAATAGGAAATGACGGAATGCAAAACAACATTGTTCACGTATTGAGATTGAAGCCCTATCTTGATCCAAAATTACAACTAGACGATAAAAAGAAAGCCCAATATTTCCAAAATTTCCAGAAGCCTAATATTTCCAGCCCAATATTGCCCAATATTACAAGAAGCCATACCAGATCGCAGCGAGACACTGCTTCTTCCTGAGAAAGGGGGAAATGTAGCTAAAATCACTCTTTTCGACCGAGCTCCTCATAGCTTAGTGGAGAAGACACAGGACCTCGAAACCCATCAACGGCAAGATGCCTGATAATTGGTTTTTATGCAAATTTCTTTCTTGTTAATGTTATCTTATTTATGTAAATTTCCTTCTTATTCTTCAACAACATTTCGAGTCTGGAATGTTCCAGCATGTTCACGAGCTGTATATAAGTAGTTCTTCATTCCGTTAGAGATAATAAGAAGTCTTGAGTACTTGTCTGTTCATTTGTACGATCCCTTCATCTAAGCGATAATATTACTACAGAAATAAAATTAGCACCTTTCCTATACATTTTAAATGCATTTAGTTTTTTAGACTAGCAGAAATCTTTAATTAAATCCAAAAATTCTGAAATGAAGAGGAAATGTATTGAAGAAAGAAACCGAATATATATAAAGAGAAAGACATTTTTTCTTCAAAGATATGTACAGTTATTATTATGTAAATTAAGCAGTTGTTTATCATTTCACCCTATTCTATAATTTTTCATTTTGTCACCAGAATGAAGGTCACTTAGATTGTTTTTAAACTAAGGTTTTGGGGTTCTAAGAGAGAATCTGTTTCTGGCCTCTGCTTGCATGCTTCATTAGTTCCTATCAACTCGGGTAATTTGTAATTATTCATCTTTGCGATATTACTGCCGATATTTGAATTTGTTTTGCGATAATTATGTTATGCTGAGTTACGAGTTTGTTACGACATGTTACTGAGCCAGCTTAGATTAAAATTAAATTGTTTAGTCTTTGACTACCAGTCCACATTTTTAGTTTAAATTTGACTGTTCCTGTTTAATTGGATCACCATAAGCTGTAAGTGATTGTACTAGCATAAGAAAATGCCTTTATTTTCTAAGGTATTTTTAAATAAGAGGTTTATTTTAGCCTTTATGTGAGTCTGTAGTTACTTTCAGACATAGCGATAATTTGCTTCATGTCTGTCAGCGGTTTTGGACTATTAAAATTTTTTTTAGATTAAAAAGATGCATAAATATTTTGTTGAGTATTGTTGCTACAAAACATGTTTATAGCTGTTAATTTGTAGTTATCTTAATGTTTAGGAATCAATGTCATAAACTACATATATTTTAAACAGCGACATGTTAAAGATTGTGATTTTAAAAGTGCTTTTTTAACAAATATTAAAAAAAAATAAATAAATCTAATAGTGGCCATGTAAATCTATAATGGCTAAGGGTATTGAACTAACTAATTTAATTATTTGTATCCAACTGGTCACTCTTAAAAATTATCGCTGCATGAGTTATTGTCTCATTATAGTCTCTTATCGCTATTGAAATGAGTTATTGTCTTTCATTAATTTTTACCGTGGTCACAAGATGCAGCACAAAAATGGTAAAAATTAACGTAAAACTTCATTCTTTGCATCTAGTGAGACTTTAATACAAAACAACCTCTGATTATCACCTCTGGTGCTTTAGTTGCTTATTGGAACTTTAAAATATATTAACTGGGTTACAATCCCAGCAGCTCTACATGAAGTTATGACTCTAACTGTGTCAGACAGGCAGAGCACAACTAATTTTCAAAATTTGCTTACATCAGACCTTTCAGGTTTGTTTTGATCAGCAGGGGTCTCTCTAGCAGCAGTGACAATAGCCAGTCTTCTGTAATGAATCATGCTGATTATGATTTTACTTCTCATTTTAACCTATGCTGTTTGACATAAAATGTACCTGCTATTTACTAAACCTCAAAACTGAGCAAGTATGTGACAAATGAGACATAAAAGAAAAAAATCACATAAGAACTGTTAGTAAAATTTTTTAAAAAAGTCCAAGCTATTATGGGTAAAATATAATGCTACCTGATAAATTTATAAAGTTATTTTTCTCAATTGTTTATAATATGCATTAAAATATGTTTAATAATAATTCATTCTACTTGTGGATATATTTTATTCTTAGGGTGGTATTATAAAAGTGAAGTTCAGGCATGGCTAATATCCTTAATTGAATTTATTCAGTTCCCATTTGTTGATGGGTTCTTAATTTTTTTTCATTAATGGTCCTTAAGAGTACTTAATTTCCATGTGCAGAAACCTTGAAAAAGAAAAATTGTTAAAATTTGAGACCTGCCTCCTACAAAACAGAAAGCAATTATTTTAAAAATTATGGGATCCTATCATCAAAAGAATTGTGTATTAATGGACATGATGTTGTAATTTATGTGAAAACAGATAAACAATAGAGCAGGGCATTATGAAAAGTCAATGAGAAGAGAATATCCATTCCAAAAGAAATGTTGTTCCAAGGCTGTAGAACCACATTTGTAACTTCGCTTGGTGCATTTACAGTAGTTACAGTATTGCCAACTAAACAGTAATAACTTGTAGCAATTACCTGCCAGAAGTTTGTATTCATAACATTCTAAGTAAAATTTCCAATAAAACCAGATGACCTGACAAAAGCTGTTTTATGAAACTCGAAAGTGAATTGGGTCAAATACTGATTGTTTACTTATAAAGAGTCACCAGTTCCTTCAGAATTCCTCAGGAGTGGTTTTGTGCAACTGTGGTGCAATTTCAAACAACTTCCATAGGTTTACAGTAACCACTTTTATGGTCAGTGAAATATATAAGACCAGCTGTACTGAAATACGTTATGTAACTAAAATTATAAAATGGGCATGAAATGTTCTTTATCACTTGTAAGTTGGCTTTGACTCTTTTATTTAAAATAGGGGATACTTATGCATTAACTGTAATTTTAATGTTTATATTGTGTATTAATGTGCGTTTGTTGTAGGAATTAGGCCGTGTTGATGATTTGTGGTCGTTGTTTTACATGCTTGCAGAATTCATTGAAGGAAGCCTGCCATGGAGACGCTTAAAAGATCGCGATCAGGTTTGTTGGCTATATTTTATCTTATCAATGGATATTTTTTAAATTAATAAATCAAGAGCAATTCAAGAATTTTATCAGCTTATTATTTTTATGTGGGCCTCACATTTCCATTAATTATGCTGTTATGTAGTATAAAATTTTCTAGTGTAGCGTTTATTATGTATTTCTATATGTGCAAATGTATTCAAATAATAATCTGAAATTCACATTTATTTTGTGTCTATTACTTATCTTATTACACTTTTTGTCTCATTAGAAAGCACATTTATTTTGTATTGTTTAATCCTACTTATAATATTATTGTTTCAGTCTTGTGGTTTTCACTGTTTTTTGCCTGTTTATTATTATTTGTTCAATGTGGGATCAGGAAAATATAGATAATTGAAGATTTAGGTACTGTAATTAAATGTGAATTCCCTTGAGATGCTTGAATGTTAAAAATATACTTCCTGTACTTTTTAGAGACTTTGAACATGTTTAAAAGAACGAGACTGATAGTGGAATTTTCAAGTCTTGGAACAATGAAATTCGATTTGAGTCTTGACAATGAAATTGTTTTCAGAATTTTTGTTATGTCTAAATTAATATGAGCTAGTTATATCCAGGAAGTTCTTAAAAAAGGGGTGCCCTTCCTTAGGATATAATCATCATTTGCTTTATTCAGTATAACAAACTGTTATTGTTGCTCACTATAAAACTAACAAGAACTGTTAGTGAAGTTAAGTCTAAACTGCAAATAAGATTTTAATTAAAAGTTACATTATCCTAGAGATTGTTGAATATGAAGAACTCAGACCCAGAACCTGCTTAAGAAAGCTGTTATATCCCACTAAGTTGTATTGCCGAAACATGCTCCTCTGGATACTCTACTTTTATCTGCAGCCATGCAGATAAGACAGTTAAATACCTGTTCAGTTATCATACTCAGTTAGACAGTTAATTATTAGTTTGATCCTATTTCAAATCCAGTCAAATGGGCTGACTGCGTGAATGATTTTAGTGTTTTCCTCTGTGTGTAATATAAATATAAATCAGTTTTCCCCAGAGAGTTCTTTAAAAACATATCCATTCCTTTAGGCAGATAGCTGACATTTGCCTTGCTTGAATCAATTGACCCAACCAGTTGGATATTGTAATTACAGGGTTGCCAGGTCACCTGGAAAAGTTAGGGAATTCAAAAGTTGACCAAAAAATTTGGGGAAAAGTTGGGTAACTTAAATGATTTAGCAAAAATATGTAAAAGTCAGGAAGTTTCATTAAGTGATCACCAAAAAAGCAATTATTGTGCCGACAATTGAAGCAGATTACTTTCTTGCTGAACTTAAATCACAGGAACATCATTCCAGCAGTTGGCATGAAGCCAATTTTCGCAGCATCAATCACATTGTTTTTCAGAGAGGCAAAGCAAGTTTTCAGTAACTTCCAGAATCCAGTGAGCATAACTTGTATGTTCGTGCGAAGAACAAGAAATCTGTGCATACTGAACAAAAGAAAATTCTACCTCTTGGTTTAGAGACATTGTTCTTCTGTTATCATCTCCAATTAAAAAATCTGGTAAGTGAAACTTTGCAATTTTATACACATTATTAAATATTTTTTAAATATATGTTTACTTTACATTCTGTCATATATGCAAGTTAAAATGATAAAATTTCATGCGATATATTTTTAAATTTTAAATAAATATATTGATGCTTTTTTAATCATATTGTGCATTATTAAAAAATCAAATTGAAGTCTTAAGCTCTTCATCGTTAATGGCGTGGATATATGATGATAATTGCACTTCAAAATTACACAAGGAAATGTGATACTTTTCTTGGTAAATGCCAAAATATTTATTTGTTCTGAACTCAATTTTCTGTTGTTTTGATTTTTAGATAATTCATATTTAAAATTTCATTTTCAAGAAACAGTAGCAGAACTCATAGCAGAATTCAGAATCAAATACTTTAAATATAATAATATTCCTCCCCCTTTTTATACAATTTGTGTAGTAAAAATAAGTAATCCATCCCTCTTAAAATTTCTCATTTGTTCAGCCTATTTTTGTACAAAACGAAATCTTTTAAACCTTTGCCTTATTTGTCAAACTGACAGTAACAATTTAAAAAATAGTAATGATCAGTGGTCTATCTAACCATTTAATATCTCTATATTGGCCAAAATATTGTTGATTAATGTAATTTAGCTTCTAATCTTTTTCAATCTTTCAAGTAAATAATTTTATTTTTGTGTTATTCGTATCATTCTATGTGGCTTCTTCCTTTTAAATTTATTTATTATTAGCTAATATTACTTTCAAAGTTCCGGCAATGTTTTCTTCAGCATGATGGTATACCATTGCAAAATTCAGTGCACATATTTATTATTTGCTGCTAAATAAATATAAAATACTTGAATGAATTTATTTAAAAATATTCTAAAATAGATTTCTTTCTTTACTTTAGGCATAACATGTGTGCAAAAAAGAATTTTATAAATTCAGATTGGGCAGATTCTGATTTCAATCCCTAGTGCAGTCCATGGTTTCAACTTATCGCAGGAGCTCCTAACATAGCAGGATGCACCTTTTGCCAAAACCATTTTGTCCTTAGTAACATGGGAAAGCAATCAAAAGCCACATAAACAGTGTAAAGCCTAAGAAAATCATTTTTATGAAGAAAATTCAAAAAAAAAAAAAAAAATTCTGAATGGATTAAAAAGAGTTCTGAAACACAGTAATCTTCGGTGCCACTTGCTGAATCATCAGATTTTAAACTCCTCTGTAAATGAGAACAAAGTGTTAGCTGCAGAATTACTGTGGGCTGGGAACTTCGTGTTTCTTTTAATATGTTTATTGATGCTGCTGTTCTGTTCCAGAAAATGTTTAATGTCAGCAAGAAATTAACCCTGGGACAGCAATAAATGCTATGGCCCTGGGACATAGCATTTATTGCTATGTCATATTTAGTGTCTATTGGTTTAGCTCCATGCTTAAAAAATAATGCTTACTTATGGTCTTAAGAACACCAAATTTGTAATATGCTTCAATGAAGCTTTAAATAGAATTGTCCAGAGAAGTCAAATGGACCTTTTTGTTAGAATTTGGGATAATGTGAGGAATGAAATGAGCACAAGATACATAACATAAATTTTTTTGAAGCGTACTACTGCTAATGACTGTCTGAGACAAATTGTTTTGAGGGAACCTCAGAACTAAATAAAAAGAAATTGCTTTAAGTATCCTTGGATGGAAAAAATGTCAATCTTAAATTCCTCAGAGATTCGAAAGAAAATTTAGCAAATAATAATTACTGTCATATATTAGATATTGGTCTTGTGGTTTGCATGTAGTTTACTGTGTCTTTAGAGATGTGCATAGAGCTACTGACTGGTAGCTCTGGTAGTATTTAGAGATAGTCCTACTTGAAGAGCAGATTATATTGCTATCACTAATTGTATGACTTTTCTGCTAAAATTTTGGGAAGTAAGATGGTGTGAAAACATTCCTGTTGCTGAAAGAGCTATTGATATTTTTCCTGAAGTAAAAAATGTATAGAATCATCTGAATTGCTAAAGACTGCCACAGTTGAAAGACTGAGAGAAGCTGTTAAAGATAAGCTTCTTTAAGCAAAAATCTTGTTTTCATTTCCGTTGCAGAAGTTGTGCATCCATTTCTAAAAGTCATGTCAGTCAGCTGGTTCTATGTGCCCTTTTCTCTACACAACTTTCCTTAGTATGCTGCATGAGCTTCTTTCAAAACTCTGTCAAAAGAGATTTAATGCAAGAGGTTAAAATTTGTAAAAATTGATAAAAATAGATATTCTGAATCAAACCATTTATTGTAATGTTGTAGATACTGATGTGGATATTGCTGCTGGTGCAAGTTTACCTAAAAGTAGAGTATCTGATCTAAAGAAAAGATAATTGAAAGTCACTGCAGGACTTTTTTGGTTGAGCTTGCATCAAAAATAGTTTAAAGAAGCCCATTTAAGTAAAGCATGGTCAAATACATTTCTTCATTAAATCCTAAGTGTATTACGTGTAATGAATTTTTATCTGAGAAAAGGATGGAGAGGTTACTGCATATCCTATATGAAAATGAATGGATGAATTCTGCAGTTCCAGATAAATCAAAACTGCACTTTAAAGAATTGTTATTCAGAAGTAAGGGTGTTTGGAAAGCCACTTTTGTTAACTATGCTGCAATGTGACTTGATCTTTTTCATAAGAACTTGATTAGTAATTCAGATTTTGAAGAACTTTGAAATGTTGTAAAACTAGCTCTAATTTTATCATGTGGCAGTGCCACAGTAGAAAGGTCTTCCTCAGTTAATAATGGTATGTTGGTGAAAAACCATCAGGAAAATTCTTTAATAGCAATGTGTACTGTTTATATTGCCATAAAAGTAAATGGAGTTGTGATGAATATTAATATAACTCCTGATATGTTATGATATGCCAGATCTGCTTGTAGTGCATAACATCAAGCACTTGAAGACAATAAGTTATGTGATAGTGAAGATTAAAAAAAATCTGGCAAAAGGAAAGCACAAGCACAGGTTAAAATTTTGGAGTCAAAAAAGCAAAAGTTGAGCAGAAACATTTCTTCAATTGACAGAATTAAAACAGCAAATATAATTTTGTGCTAATTTTTATTAGCATTTTTTCTATTAATGTTTTGTTTAAATATCCTGTCTTTTTTGGTCTTCAATTCTAATCAAAACTTACATTTAATTTGCATTATACACTGAAGTATGACCACCTAATCAATAATGCATTGTGCAACCTTTGGCCTGCAAAACAGCTGCAACTTGCCTTTGCATGGATGCGACAAGTTCTTGGTAGATGACTGGAAGCAGGTTGTACCAAATGACTAAGCAGTGGTTATGCAAAATCAAGATAGTCCGACATAGTGGTGCTTGAGGTTTGTGCTGCCGCTCCATGACATCCGAAATATGGATGATCAGGTGACTAGGTGGCCAGGACATTAATTGGAATACATCCTTGTGCTCTTT